CCCCCCCCCCCCTTTTTTTTTTTTTTTTTTTTTTTTTGAGGTTATGTGTAGTTGGCATGAGGAAAGTTGAGCTTTGATTAGTTCTGAGTGTTGGTGTTTTTTGTTGACTTGACTCTACTTGTTTTTAAGTAATTTAAGTTTTTTTTTTTGACTTTTAATCTTATACTGTCACCAAATGGTTGGCTCTCATGATACTGTTTGATGCTCTCTTGGCTGCTGCTAGTTTTTAATATTAATATTAAGTAGGGCAAAACTGGATTCTTATGTTGGTTTTACATTATGCTTTTGTGGATTGTTATACTCACTTCCCCTCCAATCTAGAAAAGAGGTATTGGATTCTTGCCCTTTTCTGTGGGGGAGAGGGATATATTATTCTCTTCCCTTGTTATAAATTTGCCCTTTCAGAGTTAAAATTTCTTTTAAAATGGCTATAAGGTGATTGGCGTTAGGGGGCTATCATTATTTTAGGGTGTGGTTATGGAAAATGGAAATACACAATGCTTGATTATTAGTAATCGTTTAAGTTTAAAAATGACTGGTAGTGCATGAAGAACTCTTAGCAAACGGACTTTGTACATTCTACTTTGTTTAGTTTTATACTCTACTCATCCTGGTATATGGAGTTTTACTCTTTATGATTGGAAGATTTAGTTTCCTACTAATGTTTTGTCAATGACATTATTTTGTTTGATGTTGCTACTTGCTATAGCATTACAAAGCTTTCTTCTGGGTTACTGGTGCTGGGGTATAATATTTATTGTTCTTAGTTACTATATCTGTTTCTAAGGAAAATAACCTTGTAAAATTGTTTTACAGACACATTTCACGAGGTCAAAAGAAAAAGAGACAGAAGAAAGGAGGTAATTTGTTATTGTTGACTAGATTGTAGCAATCGTGTCCATCTCTTTTATACCCGAAGTCTATATGTGAATCCACAACAGATTCTTTTTTAAATATATACATCTAGCCATGTTTAGACTACTATGGATTGTGAATTCCTCTCCAGTCGTTGTTACTGAACATAATCTGTCCACAACAGATTCTTTTTTAAATATATACATCTAGCCATGTTTTAGACTACTATGGATTGTGAATTCCTCTCCAGTTTTTCAAACCATTTTTCTTCCCCATTTGACATGACTAATTGTTTGTGCACGTGACTTCCGATTTGCTGTGTATGCTTTGTGTTTGGGCAGTTACATTTAAGTCAGGTTGTTTGGGGGAGCCTTTTCCCCTTTTTTCTCTGTATTAATTGTTCATTTCTTGTGGGTTCTGAAGCATGGGTATGCCATTTTGTTAGGTGTACATATAACAGTGGTGGGTAGGAGAAGGACTTCTATTGCTCATCGGAGGCAGAGAGAGGGGACTTTTAGGAGTTTTATAAATTGTCTTGTTTGCTTATGTGATGTGATTCTTGTAATTTACTTATGCTCTGATCTTTTAATTTATATTATTATTATTATTGTTACCTTTTTCAAATTTGCTCTTATCATTCATTTTATCTGGCTAATTCTGATATTGTTTTTCCTTCCTTTTGTTTAAGACTCCGCAGAATGTTAATAACCTAGAGTCTTTGGAGTCACGTTCAAGGCCTGGCACCAAAGGACGAGGGGTTAGGGGTGGTCGGGGAAAATTTTCGCCTCATCAAACATTACATGGTAAAATAACTGTTCTGAACTATAACTTGTTTGGTATTTTCCTCACTCTTGGTGTCAGACTGTCAGATAACTCCCTGTAACTGTTTACGACCTAAATTTTCAGTTAAAGTAGTTTTTGCTTTGGTTACTTTGGGTTCTGTATGTTTTACAAATGCTAGAAATAGGTAGATGAGTTTGAACGCACTGCAGTAGCAATTGGTTGTTTTTTGTCGCCTTTTGTTTTGCAGACCATGACCCTAAATGGTAACTTTAATGGAAAATAATGGATGTAGCTGCATTTCTATTATGTGATTTTATTTCTTATAGATTTTTTCTGGGTGGTAAAATTGTTGTCTAAAACAAAATTATATTCTATTGGCCTTCTTTCAGATGGCCTTCTTTCAGATGCTGGTGATGATAAGAATTCTGGTATAAGCAAAGATAGTGGAACCAATCAAGCGACTGAGAAGGGTGTACCACCACCTTTGTCAGCTTCTCAAGAGACAAGGACTAAAGAAAAAAGTTCAGGAACAAGGTGAGAATTTGTATTTTAAGTTGTTATTGCTATCCCCTGCTTGCTATTTGTTACAGTGCAATGTAACTTTGAGTCCTGATGCATTTGATTAATGCATACAACTGTATATCCTTTGCAGCTCTCTTCCTGTCATTGCCAATGGTCCTACAAGTGTAGCACCTGGAACTACTAGTGGTATTCATGTTTCTGTTTCATCTACCAGAAATGTGGACAGAACCAGTCCATCTTCTGGTCGTAATAATAGTTTGGGTGGTGCCTTTCCTGCTGATAGTTC